TGTGATCTTTTGGACAATAGTTTCCCTGTTATCAGTTGTTAGTTAATCGTGTTTAGTAAAGGTAATCACGGTCAACAGTATGTAAAGTAACAAAAAAATCTATTAAACTAAACAGGAAAAAATTTCATCCTGGAATCATTATTCTAAAAGATTCGAAGATAAGGTTATAGAACTTAGATCCAAAGACAAAAATTTTAAGGATAAAATTGCAAGAGTTCAAATTTATAATAAAATGAGACTATACCTTACAGGCATTACTGATGAATATTTACACAAGATAACAAGCAAAGCAAGAAAAATTAATAAGTTATTTGGATATAATTACGATTCTGTAACTTTAAAAAAGAATAAAGGTATAGGATGACACATGATTAATTGTGTTATCTACAGTACTGATACTATTTCAAGACTTACTAATCTTCAAATCCAGTATATTATAGATCAAATAACTTCAGCGCAAGTTGGTATAAAAACTGTGAACACCGTTCACGATCAGACAAAAACTGAGGTGAGTACTTAAACTAAAGTAAATGTGTTAACCAAGTCTCAAGTCTCTAACTCGGAAAAAATATAATGTGGGAAATTAGAAATCAAGGTAAATGCATCATTTAAATTACATCAAACTGTATTTTTTCTATATCAAAATATTATAGATTTTATATATACACCATCTGCATCTCAACTAAAGACCCTACCTAAAAAACAGATTAATTCAATTTGTGACTATACTTATTTCTGTAATAAAGCACTAGAGCAATATCTTAATTTGTATAAAAATTGTAGTTGGAAAAATTTTGATTATTACAGAATTACCAACAAGACATTATACCTATTATACAAGTTAGATCACGATGAAGAGGAAAGTATAGAAGGTAGATATGAAACTGGATCATACTATATTAAATGTAAACAGTACGAAATTCAAATAACTGCATAAATAAAATTAATTTGTTCTCACTTTATAATATATTAGTATGCAATAATGCGAAATGTATTTAATTAATATTTTTTTGATATGTGAGTAATGCAGAGCGGAATAGAAAATACTCTAGTACCTAATTTTTTATATATCTATATTTCTGTATTATTTATATCTTGATGACTCTCCGATTTTTGAAATTGAATATGATACGAGAAATTAAATTATTTTGAAATTATATAAATGACAGCATGGATATGCAAGCCAGGTCTAATAAAGTATTAACTTCTGAATATTTGAATTGGCATTCCAAATTAACTGATTTGTCAACTACTATAACTGATAAACTTCGTTTCAAGTTATATAAAATATATAAGAAAAAAACTGAACTTGATCCCTGGATAAAATCTAAAACTTTCGAATTCTCACAAATCGAAAAGACTAATAATTACCTTTCACAGGACTGTGTTATCAAAATTTTCAAGTTTCCAGAAGAGAAAGATATAATCCATAAAACAGTATATAAACGTTTTCCTTTCTTGTCCTACACCAATTCAAACACATGGCATCAAGATATTTTTAAATATACCAATTCAGAAGCTAAATGTTCAATATGTAAAGAAGTACATACAATATATTGTATATGGGACGATGTCACCAGTGGTCCTTGGTTTTCCCAAGAACTACCTATGAGAGTAACTTGATAGTTCTTTTAAGGAGTTTATAATCCTTTCCCAAAGGTAAGACTGTTGTTTCATTACTTTAGAAGGTACCACTGATTCAGTTATTTTAGAAAAGGAATTAGACCTTTCATTTAATTTATCCCAATATCTTTTCAAGTTTATCATTATCCTTAGTATTAGTCTTCGTTCATTAATCATCTTTTAATTTCATTAACTTTAAGTATTATTTCCAATTATTTAGATTAATTATTATTTCAAGTTCAGATTTTATAATAGTTTATAATTAATTTCATTAACTCAGGAATAATAACATTATACAATTATACAATCAAGTATTTAATC